CCATTGTTAGGCTGATGGTCCTTCTTGAGCATGTGATCAGCTGGTTTTGGTTGTCAGCAGCAAAACTGGTTGATCCACTCTGAGAAGGTGCTATTTAAGAGACTGAGCTGAATACAGCACCTCAGACTGAGGAAGTCGTTCAGATGAGAGACGAAACGTTTCTACAATTTTTTATTTTTTGAGCCTATCCAGAGGACCAGATTTAACTTTTTTAGATATTAGGATAAAGCTATAAATGACGATCAGCACAACACAAGGGTTAGTCTTGACAGGTCAGGATATTAAATCCTGTGGTTAAATAAAAAGCAGCAGCACTTTTTTCTTCAAGACTTTTCAAATCTCATTCATAAAAGTTTTTAAGTTATGTTAATGAGTTGAGAGTTACAGGTTTATAAGACATTGCTATAACAGTCATACTAATAAGGCCGTTAAGGTCACATGTGTCACTGACCTACCCACCTATCCTTTGAGTTGTTTGGGTTGTTATCATTTATGGAACGTTTTCTTACAAGGTGAGCCATTTTGGTCACATGTTTCAAGCATTGGCATGTATCAAAGCTGGACACCACCTGGACACAGAATCCTATAAGCTGAAGCTAAAACAGGAACAGGATGGTCCTAGTATAAGTTTAAAGATTAAGTATAAAAAACACAACACAGCATCTCCCATATACAGCATCCTTCTGGCTTCAGTTGAAAGAGAGGTCAGGAACATATGGTTTATAATATATGTTGCTGGTTTCAAAGTGTGAACAGTTAAAAAACCACCTGCAGAGAAAAGTCAAGGCAGCACTATAGGTGTCTGAAAGATGGAACGACTGCAACTCCTAACTAAGGATTAGAACTGAGGAAGCCTTTTAGATGAGAGCTGAAACATCTTCAAGAACAGAGAAGTCCTGTTGTCTTTGATTTAGGCACTTAGAACCACGGGTATCAGGCCTGTGAGGTTGTTGTCACATTCAAGGCCATAGTTTAGACAAGTAGGCAATTATGCTTCAAATACTTGATAGACAAAACAACTCCAATACATGGGGGGTCCACACTCCAGACATGTGATAACCACACTACCCCAAGCTTCACCCAGGACCCCAACACGCTGCTATAACAAGAAACCATTACAAGCTTGGTAAGATTAGTGCATGCTCAAAACCATCATGGACCAATCAAACTCTGTTGACTGTAACAGGAAGACCGCAGCATTCCTAATACTGGACTGAACACCCAACAAAGACCCTGCAGAGACTGATTTTTTTTTACATAGTTGTGAAGTCATCTATCGTAAAGAGGGCCTTAATGTCCCTTTTGTCCTTTAATCAGTTGACTATTACATTTACAATCTCTCTGATTTGTTGGTACAAAAAATAGTGATGATTATTAGAAACCTGAAGAAGGGTTTCTCTAATGCCTCTCTTGATCAACCAAAAAAAAAGTATATTCTGGGGGAAAAATGCCACAAATCTGTAAGTGGCTATTTCAGACCAGGTTATGAGCAGGAGGGATTATGAAAACATGTTGCTAATATGAAAAGAAGACTTAAAACAAATGTGACTGCCCATGTCATACAATACAATTGTAAAGAGACAGTCTAAAGAGAAATCTATATTTCTAGTTTTTAACCAGCCTAAGCCATAGGATAAGCTATGAATCCTGAAACTGTATTCTCTGTCAAAGTACCAATGTCGTCAATACTATTGAGTTTTGGAAACAAACTGTAACCAGGTTTCTCAAGAAGTTTGGTAGTTTGAAGAAATGGAAAGCTACCCACTGAGGCTCAACAAATAATGGCGAGGAAAATTTCTGTTAAAATTTTAGAAAAATATAACAGACAGATTCTTCCCCCATGGCTTTTTTATTTGTTTAAAAAAAAACAAAAAAACTTTTATTGTATAATTAGGTGCAAATTGTTGTTTCTTCTTACCTTCTGCTGAGAGCCCTTGTACGTTCACTCCTCTGGCATCCAAGAAACTGAGGCAGGCGTCCACATTCTCAATCTGCCAAGGAGAAGACAGACAGTCAGCATAAAGGACAGACGCAGCAAGAATGTGACAAAACTTCACATTCATTGAGCCAAAATGTCTTGGGTTATGGGGCTGAAAGGAAGGGGCAGATCAGCATTATTACCCATAAAGCACATCATTGTGTGATCATTACAGACCAACCCACAACCTTGGAGCCCCGGCTGCATGACATACTGACCGCAGTGTGTTACCACCTACTCAACCACGTGCACATCACACGGACACACACCCATAAGTACACACAATGCCAGTGAAATGAATGCAAATCAATTTTAGTAAACAACAAATGCCCACTCAAGAAACATTGATGCAGAAAACGCAAAACTGCAGATGCGCACAAGAAGTGGCATAAACATATACGATCAACTCAGCAATCGTTTCATTATGAGCTAGTTTCAGTTCTACAAAGATACTTAGAGGTTGTGTTTGTGATGGGGATTTTTGCCTTCCATGACAATGGTTTTGCAGGCGGCTTCATTAGCATGGCAACTGGCGGCCAGCACCCAACAGGGGGTCTTTTATGACAGGGTTGAAGGTCATAGTGTTCGGTCTTAGTGCAGTGTGTCAGTGACACAACATGGGGCAGACGGGGCAACTCAGCTAGATGTTCATAAGACAACGATGATTCATGAGCCTCATCTATCCCTCAGCATGCTCTCTTGCTCACTTTTGAAGGTTTGCTAACTTGTATATCGTTTTAATACAAAAATAACGTCTTTGCAGAGACAAAAAAAATGCCATATTAGCACACACGCTGTTAGTTTTTACACATTGTCTTGAAATGTTTTCTTAGACAAATTATTCATCAAGTACAAAAGACAAAGGTTTGACATTTACACACACACACAAGTGGAAAATGTGGGTTGCATGGTGGAGCAGTTGGTTGCCACTGCTGCCTTTCAACAAAAAGGCCCCGAGTTTGACTCCCAGCTGGAGCTGTTCTGTGTTGAGGTTACATGTTCTCCTAGAACTCAATAGATAACCTTCAGTTTTCTTTTCATATCTGAGCCTACCTAGCTATTAGTTGAACCACAAAAAATGAGAAAACTTTAGGAACTTTAGGTTCATACTGATGTCATGGTACCTCTCTTTTTGTCACAGGGGTATGTATCACAAACACATACATCTTGATTTTTCAAGACACACATTGGTTAAATAAATACCTGCAATACTATCTTACTTAGGACCTGTTTAGTGAAGTTGTATCACATTGCACAGTTGACCAATATTTTAAAGAAAGTCATTGTTGCTCCGGGTTTTTCTGCTTTGACCTCTGCCTTAAATACACTGCCAGTGACTCTCTTGCAAAACCCGATGACGAGGAAAAGGAGGAGAACGAGGAAGCACCACTCGAGCAGATACTGAAAGAGTCTTCCACTCACTCAGTAGCTTGAAAACTCCAAGCAGTCCACAAGATGGCTGACAGAATATTACTATAAAGTAAACTTTGTATATGGTGCAATATACTTATTAAATTACACTTTTCTTGATATTTTTTTTGTCTTCTTTATTGTAAAAGTTGCGGACAACTAAATTTGGCAGACCAGCAGATTCAGTCAGATTCTGTCCGCTGGCTAACCTGTAAGATTTCCTTATGTCTGGTAACAATAAATAATACAGCTGGTATGTACCTGGTCATTATGAGAAAACATTCAAGGTACTTATGGTACTTTCAGGGTGACATGAAAGGTACTTTTGGAGTAACACACAAGGTTCTTATGTGGTAACATACATGGAAATTACTGGGTCATATACAGGCTGTATGTTATCCAGTAAGTACCCTGAGTTTAACCCAATACGTACCCTGTATGTTACCCTGAAAGTACTGGGAATGTATTCAGTAAGCACCCTGTATGTTTCCCATAAATATTGGGCTGTATTGCACTTCGCTACGTGGTTCTCAAACTTTTCAGCTTCCAAACCAAAACATAGTTCTCTAGGCCAAATGAACAAAGAACTAATGAAAATACAAACAACATCCATCAAACTATTTTAATCCATTTTAAAACATTATTTTTTTATTTCTTGCAACATTTAAGTCAAAATGATGATGCTAGCTAAGGAAACCAGCTGACTCATTGAATCTTCATGAAATGTCCCGCGCTCTCTTTTGGTGTTGAACCAATGGATCTGAAATCAAATTTTACTTTGCTGTGTGAGCAGAAGAGCAGAGTGTATTGATTAGTGATTAGCTTTTCACTGCAGAGGGTATTTATGAACTGATACATCTGATTTGTAAATAGCTATAGTGTCATTAGTTTAGGCCTCTCATAATAAATCGTGCCTAAAAGTTATAGTCAAGGAAAATGATTATCGTATTAAATAGGCAACACACTCTAATATCTTCCTAATAAGAAAAATCTTAAGGTGTTCTAAACATGCGCCTGTAGACATCGCCATGACTGCAAAAAAAAAAAACATTGATTTTTTTTATTTTTATGTTGAAATATCATTTAAAGTAAAGGGGACATAAGAGAGTTTTAGAATTTTTCTCTTTATTAATAAATTAAATTTGAGTTTTTCTGTACATAATTAGTTAAAATTCTGTATATAGTCATTCCTTTCTATTATTGTTATTATTAAAGTGTTGCTGCCTGTGCTTGTGTGTCTGTTATGACTATATTTTGTGAACCATGTGGCAGATATTAATGGATCTTACAGAAAGTAATCACCACATGTATATATCTAGAACTGATCAACATTTAATAACAATATTTAAGACGGCCAGCACAATAAACTGGCATGAAAATAAAATTACAGATAGTGACCCAAGATTTGACATGGTAGTAGTAGAGACTGAGCCCCAACACATATTTTGAGTGTTAACAGAGCGCACAAGATCTATTTTTTTATTTAGAAATTAATAATTAGAGTTAACTCTGCCTGTTAGCAAAATATCTTATAAACCCTTGAATGGATTTTAATAAAACTTTCAGGAAATATTCAATGATTGAACATCTACAACTGATAAAGCTTTGCAACAAATTAATTTTGAGACAGCCACTACAGCTAACTGACCTTAGAAAACAAAAATAGCTATAATTCAGTCAATTATACTGATGTTAACCTAAACTTTGTCGTGGTCGTAGCTGAGAATCATCCCCAACACATACTTCAAATTCTACTCATTGGGCAAAGTCTTTGCTTAAAAAAATTAGCATTAACTTTTGGAAAACAACCTGTTTTTCTTTTAGCAAAATAATTCATGAACCAGTGGACAGACTTTATTCAAACTTTCAGAAAATATTCATTAGATTTGCATCTACAACTTTCTAAGTTTTGAAGTCAATTGATGTCAAGACGGCCACCACAGCTGTTTTACTTTAACCAACAAAACAGGCTAAAACTCAATTTTACCATTATTCAGCTAAAATTGGTAGATGAGCAGGAGCAATTCTAGAATCTGATCTTTGGGGGTGCTTAGCCCCCCAGTACTGACAGTGGCTCTTGGTTTGAATAATGCACCACATGGTGTGGTTTTTGAGAAGTGTAAAATCTTACAGCAGCTGGTATTCCCAGGAAGTCTCTCATCCAAGTACTGATCAGGCCCGATCCTGCTTAGCTTCTGAAATCAGGTGTGTTCAGGGTGGTATGGCCATAAACTAGGATCTGTGTCACACAAGTAGGACTTTTAAAGGATCATAGCAAAGACATGGAGAGTCCTCCTGCTCCTGCAGGTAAGGGGCGTTTATCTTCGGGACAAATTGAGGTCGCCTGTTGGTCAGTTGCTGACATGCCTACTGGATGCCTGAATTGACAATGATGAGAATCCGACTCGTGCAAAAAACTCATATTTTACTGGCCCATTTAAGACTGTCATCACTTATCCCATATTTATTCCAAATTTATTCAGTATCATTATTATTATTATTATTTATTCATTCATTTAAAAGAAGAAAAACAAATTCATCCAAAAAAAAAAAAACATTGAATGAAAAGGGTGCAGAAAGAAGAAACTAATTCTTAAAATATCTGCCCCTTATTTAAAAAAAAAATACAAAACAACTACAAAAAAACAATAACCTACACTTGATCAATCTCCAAATTGAAAACAAAAAAAACATCAGGCATCCTTCATCAGTCACCATACCTTCCCAACAACTTTAACTTAATCATATTTTTAAACATATGAATTGTTTTTGAAATTTTTATGGCAATATCAAAGTAATTCCATAATCCTATTCCCTGAATTACAACGCAGCTCCTTCAGATTAGTTCTAAATGGAGGTTTTACAAACATTTACATTCACTTAAAGTTATAATGATTCTCTTTTTATTTTTATTTTTACAAATTTTAATTGAATATTTGGTGGTCATTTTTTAATGAGCTTTATCCATGACTTGTAAAGTATTATATTCAACCAAATAATTAAATTTTAATAAATTCAACTGATGAAATAATATATATTTGTTGGGTGACCATTGCACTTCCTACTAATAATTCTTACAGCTCTTTTTTTATAAAATGAAAATAGGATTTGTAATTATTTTACATGCTTTTCACCAAACCTAAATACAGTAGATTAAATATGAAACAATCATTTTATTATACAATATATACAACGTTTTGTCATTCAAAAACTCTTTTACTTTATACAGTAATGCAATTGATTTTTCTATTTTTATTCTGAAGTATTTTACATGAGATTTCCATGTCAGCTTCTCATCAATAACGACACTCCAAAATTTTATTTCATTAATTCTGAATTTCAATACTATGAATCTTAAATGAGACTTCGATAATTCTTTCTATTATTAAATATCATGTAGTTTGTTTTTTTTCCAAATTTAATGATAACAAGTTGGAACCAAGTTTATATTTTTTCTGAATTCTGCCTGTATCATCTCTAACATCTATTCAATGTCTTCCCCCGAACAAAAAAATATGGTATCATCTAGAAATAAAACACACTTCAAATGCCCTGACACATCAATCAGATCATGCACATACAAAATAAACAACTTATGTCCCA